TATGTATATGTATGCATGCATGGATGCATGTATGTATACATGTGTGTGTGTAGGTATGTATGTACGTATGTATGTATGTGTGCATGTTTGTATGTATGTATGAATGAATGTATGTATGTATGTATGTATGTATGTGTGTCTGCCTGTCTGTCTGTCTGTCTGTCTGTCTGCATGCATGCATGCATGCATGCATGCATGCATGTATGCATGTATGCATGTATGCATGTATGCATGTGTGCATGTGTGCATGTGTTCATGTATGTGTATGTATGTATGTATGTGTGTATGTATGTATGTATGTATGTATGTATGTATGTATGTATGTATGTATGTATGTAGGTGTATGCATGTTTGTAATGTAATGTAATGTAATGTAATGTAATGTAATGTAATGTACTGTACTGTATTGTACTGTACTGTACTGTACTGTTCTGTAATGTAATGTAATGTAGTGTAATGTAATGTATTGTAATGTACTGTAATGTAATGTAATGTAATGTCATGTCATGTCTGTATGTATGTATATATGTATGTGCATGTCTGTTTATGCATGTGTGTATATATGTATGCATGCATGCATTTCTGTCTGTCTGTCTGTATGTATGTATGCATCTGGATATGTGTATGTCGGCGGTGCCCGGTGCGGAGCGACCCCCCCCCGGAATCGCTCGTCCTGGGGGTTCCGTGCTGGCCGCACCGCCAGTGCAGGCCGGTGCGAAACCCCCTTGGATGCACGAACCCCCCTGGGGACGGTGCGCCCCGGTACGAAACCCCCCGGGACGCCCCGCTGGTGCGCCCCGGTACGAACCCCCCCGGGATGGCCGATGCATATGCCGATGCGGATGCCAATGCCGACGCTGACGTCATCGTCGTCGTCGTCGACGACGACCACGACGACGACGACGACGACGACGACGACGACGACGACGACGACGACCACGAGGACGACGACGACGACGACGACCACGAGGACGACCACCACCACCAACACCACCATCCCACGCCCACAGGGGGGGCGGGGGGGGGGCCACCACGCCACTCCCACAGTGGGGGGGCCCATCGCGCGGGGGGTGGGCCCGATGGCATCAGCATTATCTCATATCCGTCCGTCGATCCGTCCATCCATCCGTACCTCCATTCATCCATCTAGTCCTCCCTCCCACCCCGCGCCCACGCCCCAAAGACCCATCCCCCACAGGAGCTCCCCACCCTACTACCACAGGGGGGGGGGCGCTGGTGCGCCCGGTACAAAACCACCCGGGAAAGAGGGAGAGGGGGGGTTCCAGGTCGTCGGCGGCACCCTGTGCGCCCTGTACGACCCCCTCCGGGAAGGCGGGGGGGGTGTTCGTGCCACGGGGCACCGCCGACATGTATGTATGTATGTATGTATGTATGTATGTATGTATGTATGTATGTATGGATGCATGCATGCATGCATGCATGCATGCATGCATGCATGCATGCATGTATGTATGTATGTATGTATGTATGTATGTATGTGTATGTATGCATGCATGCGTGCATGCATGTCTGTACACGTGTGTACATATCTATGTATACTTATATAACTATTTCCACCGTCATACATATATATATGTATATACGTATGTATGTATGTATGTATGTATGTATGTATGTATATATATATATATATATATATATATATATCATTTTCAGTTTTTGGCATGTCGAAATATCAACGCTTTTAGCAGTCTTAGTCCTGCTGCTGCCACCCATTCCTGGATAAGAAGCATCAGAGCATTGAGCATGCAATGGAACACATTGGGCACGCGAGTGAAACTTGAGCAGTTCGAGAACGGCAGAGTTTGGATCGTATAAGATATCACCATTGGGTGCGGGGACAACGCTCGGCAACCGAATCCACCCATTCTTTGATATTGCACATGTGGGGAGGTGCCCCCTGCTGCTATAGGGACAGCTAGCCATAGTTATTTCGAATCACCAGAGAGTGGTATTACAGGCGTGCTCTCCGATCGTACACGATCAAATCAGACGAATGACGTCCTCTAATTCGCACATGATGGTGATAGTGCTGCCTCTGAGTATGACTGCAGTTGCTTGGGCGCCGGATGTTTTAATGTCATGATGCCGATGGACCCTTCTGAAGTTGAGGTGGAGGAGTTTGCGGGAGGTTGTTTCGAGCCCTATATTCCCACGTCTGCGGTTGCGAGGGCCCGTGGGTTCGGACAGCCGTTGGAGTGTGTGTGTGTTTTGAAGCGGCAAGTGACAAAGTCGATGCATGAGGCAAACGACCAGTTTTTTTTTGAAATTGCTCGACGCTTGCTCCGGTGGGACAGGATCCAGCCAAACCATCGTTCGAGGGAAGAGTCTGGACCCTGGCCTTTTTGCTCTGGCCTTTGCGCGACCATTATAGACACACGTTGATACATGGTTTCCAAATCTATGAAGGTCATGCTACGACTACTGTCCGTGCAGTGCTCGCTTGCTATTGTCGCACATGCAGGGTACGGCAGTTTTTGTGCACGCGCGCGGGGTCCAGGCGGTATTCTGGTGCTAATAGTGGCAACAGTCGTAGCAGTAACAGTGATATCAGGAGGAGGGGGAAAAGGAGGAGGATGAGGGAGGGTGGAAGGCGACGGGGTGTCGTCGTAATCGTCGTCGGTGATCACTGCTATGATTGTCGTAATCGTCGTCGTCGCCGTCGTAGTCGCCTTGGTCGTCGTACTCTCGTATTCGTCTTAGTCGCAGTAATAGTCGTCGTCGGCGTGTGGTCGTCGTTGTGACCGTCGTCATGACAATCGTAGTCGTCGTAGTCTTCGTAATCGTCGCGATCGTCGCCGTAGTCGTCGTCATCGTCGTCGCGGTACTGGCAAGTTACCGGGGTGCCAACAGAAGTGTAGCCATGATCTCGCAGCCGTTTCGTGTGTGCTTGCAGGCACCACTGTTGCCCGCCTCTCCCTTCGGGCCGAGGGGCTCCCAGACCCCTCCCAGAGCCCACCTCTGCAACAGAACTGTAATCAACGCACGGGTTGTGGTGCACGCAGGGACCGGTGCCCGCAGGCTCTGCCGTGTGTGCAGGGCAGGCGCTGCGGTGAACGCGGCTGCTGTGGTGCACGCAGGCGCCGTGGTGCACGCAAGCTCTCTTGTGCATGCGTGCAGCAAGCATCGGGACCGGCAGTGCGGTACAGATTTTGAGACATGTTTCGTGTTACGTTTTGGCTCCCGAGGCGGTAGAACCAAGCAGCACTCTTTACTCTGCAAAGTGGATGCAGCACAGTGGCAGTAAACACAGGCACAGAATGTGCTGCACGTGTGCGCTGCGCAGTACACAGGCGATGTGGTGCACGCGGCTGCGGCGGTGTATGCTGCGTTGCGCATCGTGTTGCGTGCTGTGATGCGCACAGGCGCTGTGGTGCCGGAGCCACCCAGCGGGGGGACGTTACGTTATGCCTCCCCGCCCCCCCCCATGATGCCCGCTATGACTCCGAATAGACAAATGCTCGCACATCTCGATTCGATGTTGACTTCTCCTGCAACTACCCCTTGACCTTGCAGGTCCCCGCGAACGGGCTGCAGGTGCAAGCTGTCGGGTGGGGGCCCCTGGTCGAACGGGGGTCCCAGATTCCAGCAGCTCGCGCTCGAACTTGTAGCACGCCCCTGAAAGGCGAGGCGCGAGCCTGGCCCTAGTACAGGTTCAATGGTTAGTTGCTCGCGCATCATTAAGGAGGGGTCCCATTTAAAGAAACTACTTGCGGGGAGACCAGGCCATATGCTCGGACCCCTTCTGCTTCTTCATCTCGTTCTTCTCTTCTCCTTCTTCTTCTTCTTCTTCTTTTTTTTTTTTCTTCTTCTTCTTCTTCTTATCACTATTATTACTAGTCTTCACGGTGCCAAGCGCTGCTGCCTAGCACCGCTCGACTCGCGATGCGAAAATGCTTCCGTGCATGGAGCCGTCGTCTGCACCTGGGGATGCCAGCAGCGCGGTGGGGGAGTGTCGAGCGCGCCAGCGCGGACTTCCATTTCAAGTCGCGAGCGGTATCTCTCAGCTCGCTGCAGTAGCGTCGATCGCCGACCATAACGGAGCCCCCACCCTGCCAGGGTCCATGCTGGTCCGAACGATCCGATCCGATATCGATCTCGGCCGGCCCGAGCCGATGTGATTTCTGTTTTCCCACCATCCGATGGGGCCCGGTGCTTGCACGGCGCTGCCGTGCGTCCCGCAGGAAAGCCAGAAATGTTTCTAGCTGTGCGCGGACGGATCCGTGGGAAAAGTCAAAAAATGCGAGCGGCCGAGGGTCGCCGCGGCGCGGGTGGGAGGGCCACCGTGCATGTGCGCGTTCCCCCGGCCTCACGGCCCCCCACCTCCTGCCGAGCTCTCCCCCCAGTTGCGGGGGAGGGTGCTGGGGGAGGGGGGGGGGCTCTCAAAAAAGTACGGCGCGGGATTCTCGAGGGGGCGCGAGAAGTCTCTGGCGAAGCCTACTCTGGAGATCATTTCTCAAAAGTGCGATCGGGCAGGTGTACTCTTGAGCGGAGGGGGGGGGGCCATTCAAAAGTACAACCCGGGGCCGCTAGCCGGGGCCTGCGGAAATGCCAGGCTCGGGCGTCCCCGCGCGGCCGCGTCGGCGAGCCCGACAATGCGTCCCAAAGTACGCCCCAATGATGCTTTCGCTCACAGGACCCTTTCTGGTCTGCCCGAACCCTGGCGCGGCCCAGTCCGACCCGATCCCGACTCCATGCCAGTGCGGCCCGACCTGACGCACGTTCGGACACGCTCCGACGACCCGAGCACGGGCATGCGGGGACGCCGCGCGCGCGCTCGGGCCGCCGCCGACGAGGGCCGCCGAGGACCACCGAGTGGCCGCCGAGGGCCGCCGCGGGCCGCCGAGTGGCCGCCGATTGGCCACCACTGGGGGCCGCCGAGGGGCCGCCGAGGCCCGCCGCGGGCCACCGCCGAGTGGCCGCCGAGCGGCCGCCGAGGGCCGGCCGCCTCTGGCGGCCGCCGCGCCCCGGCGCGGCAGGCTCGACGACCCGCCGGCGGTGGAGAGGGCCGACCGCCTCCGGGAGCGGCTGCAGCGGCTGCGGGCGGAGCTGGACAGGCCCCGGCGGGGAGGGGGCCGAGGTGGGGGGTAAAACTTTAACAGGGCTAGGATCGGGATAAATCGCTCCAGAGCGTTCCGGAGCGCTCTCAGAGCGTTCCGGAACGCTCTGGAGCGGCCGCGGCGCCCAATACATCCTCCAAACCCGCCGATTCTCAGAGATTTCGAGTTATCCCGATCCGATTTTGTCCCGATCTTCGCGTCGTTTTAGGGGGGGGAGGAGGAGTCGGGGTCGTGCGCAGGCCATGCCTTCGGTGGCAGCTCGTGGGGGCCCTGCCTGCCCTCGGCAGCTCCGTCCTCTGGAGGGCGCTGGCGTCGAGCAGCGTCTGGTGAGCGCGGCGGGATGGCGCCGAGTTCGCGTCGGTTTCGCGTCGATGAGCGCCGGTGAGCGTCGATTATCCTCTGGAATGCGCTGGCGTCGAGCAGCGTCTGATGAGCGACGGGATGGCGCCGATGTCGCGTCGGTTTCGCGTCGATGAGCGCCGGTGAGCGTCGATTCTCGGGTCGGGCGAAAGGGGGGGATTGGGAAAGGGGGGGTTACGAAATTTGCTGCATGCAGCTGGTTTCGGCCTCACCGAGGGGCCCATTCCTCGATACATAGCCGCCTCCGGCGCCGGGAGGCGCCGGGAAAATCAGCTACGTGAGCTGATTCTCCCCCCCCCCTTTGCTATCCCCCCCTTTCGCCCGACCCGAGATTCGCAAGAGCCAGCAACATGCTATGGGATGCTCCCACGAGCTGGCGCAGACGGGGGGAGGAAGAGTCAGCATCGTCTCACCTATCCCCATACCTATAGGGTCCGCCCCTTCCGCTGGCCTCCTAAAAGGCGCCAGGGTGAGAGACTTGCCGCCGACTTCTAGCGAGGCCCCCTGAGAAGCGCCCTGGGACACAGACGGCTTCTCAGAAGGCGCAATGGTATCTCAGCCCCACCAGCCCACCCCCAGGTGGAGATAGGTCCCCCGAAGCCCTAAGGGAAAAGCATGTATGAATCGGCCAGTGGTGCCGGGGCCAGGCCAGTGGGGATGGGGTTTTGTTAAACGATGCTCAGGAAGACGGTTGTGACAGAGATCTTGACCAAAGGGGCGTGATGAGAAGATTACGCGTCCGACCATGGGAACTTCCTGGGAATGGGGATTCTCGGCTCGCCAGAGCAACACAACCGCGCAACAACGCACAGCAGCGTGCAACACCGCGCAACGTCACGTAGTACCGCGCTTTCACCGCGCAGCAATGCGCAATTCACTGAGTGGCGTTGAGCGGTGTTACGCGGTTTCTGATATGAAGTCGTTTCTTAGAGGCTTGCTTCTATGGATCGGACACGTCAGGGTGACCTTCTCTCCCCCTCCGTGGCAGAAAGGTGCCATCTGCGAGACTCCAGACAGGGCTCGCTTTTGATCTGGGCAGGAGTATCTCTGGGCTTGATTGCGGTCAGCAGCGTTTGCTAGCGTGTCGCGCCGCTGGTCCTGGCCCATCACGCGTCGGCGCGACACGCCGAGGACGTCCCAGTCCCAACGCATGCATCGTTCCGAGCTCGTCCCAGCTTTCCATCCTGCAATAGCAGAGCGACACGCCACCTGCTTGCATTCATGACTTCCAGGACGCGCGACAGGGAACGACTTCTAGCAGGTCTGACTACGATACGAGTGAGCTGGACGGACGGGTTAATGAGTATGTGGGAAGGACCTCCTTATTATGTCAATCGGTCAGAACAGAATAATCACGTCAGGTTATTGGGTGCACAAGCAAGTATCAATGAGTCAGAGGTTGCTGCCATGCGTGCAAGCGTCTGGAAGAGCACAACGCGAGAAGACAGCCGTTGTCGCTACAGCTTCCTTCCGTTGCTTATGTGCGTTGCCCACGGTTGCTGATTCTCACTTATGTTTGGATGGTTCAGTGATGTTCGAATCCGCCCATAACGTTTATTGCGTTGATTCCGACTTTCGCGCTTCGTTCTGTCAGAACCACTGGCTGCCCCGAGGGGGAGAACCCTGCTCTGGGCCGGCGCGCCGCGTCTCGTTTTCTGGGGTCATCGCTGTTAGTATAGAGTAATGAGGTTTAAGCGCCCGACGGCGTTGCTGTGCCGCAGGTTGCATGCTTTTCATATCGGCTCCTGCGGAGCCGATAGGCATATGGCAGTCTGCGTAGTCAGTCCCAGCAGCCACACTCACTGAACGCGTTCTGTTTTGAAATATATCATCCACGGAGGTCGCGATCTGCGGCGCGCTTGAGAACCCCCCCAAAAAGTCCCTCAGACAGCCTGGAGACCCAGCCTAAGGTCTCGACCAGGTTCCCCCAAGACCACCTCATAACATTGCATTAGGTGCGTGAGTTTCAATGGTCAGAGGTTGCTGCCTTGCTGGCAAACGTCTGGAAGATCACGGCTCGAGAATGCAGCCGCTGTCGCCTTCTTCTCCTCCTCCTCCTCCTCCTCCTCCTCCTCCTCCTCCTCCTCCTCCTCCTCCTCCTCCTCCTCCTCCTCCTCCTCCTCCTCCCCCTCCCCCTCCTCCTCCTCCTCCTCCTCCTCCTCCTCCTCCTCCTCCTCCTCCTCCTCCTCCTCCTCCTCCTCCTTCCTTCTCCTCCTCCTCCTCCCTCTCCTCCTCCTCCTGCTCCCTCTCCTCCTCCCCCTCCTCCTCCTCCTCCTGCTCCTGCTCCCGCTCCTCCTCCTCCCCCTCCTCCTGTTCCTGCTCCTGAGTGCGCCGCTCCGGCCCCGCGAAGGCTGGCGGCGGCGGCGGCGCCGCCGGGCGCGGGCGCAGGTCGGGGGCCGCCAAGGGTGTCCCTGGCTCATGTCAGGCGATCGCAAGCATGGATCCAGGGGGCGGGGGTGGATGATAGGCGACGGGTCCCGTTTCCATGGGACATCGCGGACCTCCGCCGCCGAACGAGACGGCACCGGCCGTATTTCGGGGAGGGCGCCTCCCCCGATCCATGGATTCGGCGACCGCGCGCCAAATCCATGGATCGCCAATCCCTGTTTGCGCGCCCCCGACCACGGTGTCCCCGGCTTTTCTCGTCCCGCTGCGGAGCCCCTCATTGGGCCCTCCGGACCTCGTGAGCGGTGCTCTCTGGAGGCCACGTGGGCCTGCCTCTGCGGGGTCCATCTCGATCCCATCGCTCCGGTTCGACGTCGACTTCGGCCTGCCCGATCAGGCTCGATGCCGATGCTCCGACGGCCCGGTGCGCTCCGATGCCTTGCACGGCGCTGCTGTGCATCCTGGCGCGGCCGGGGCGACTCGATTATTCCGACGCCACGTGCCGACGCGGCCCGACCCGACGCGCCTTCCGATCCAGTCCAATCCCATTCATCGGTTCCATCCTGACCGCTCCTACCCTTGATAATTTACGTTGCATCTTCGGGGGACCTTTCCTGTCCCCCAAATTGGCGTCTTCTCTTGTGCCCGACGCGGGTTGGATGCGGACTCGACGCGGATTTGGCGCGTGGATTCGACGCGGAGTCGACACGGATTCGACACGGATCCGACGAGGCCGACATGGATTCGACACGGACTCGACGCGGATAGGGCCGCGACGGGACAGACAGGGTCCCCCAAAGAAGCAACATGAGATAAGCTGGGGCCGCCTTGGGGCCAGGCCCACCTCTGTAGGGGGCCACATGCGAACCCTGCCCCCTACCCCCCAAGTTTCCTGAGGGGGAGGGTGGGGTTCCCTTCGTTCGGGAGGTCACGAGCGAAGTGAACCCCACCCTCCCCCTCAGAAACCGTGGGGGGTAGGGGTCGGGTTCGCATGTGGCCCCCACCGCTGGCAACCCCTGAGCAGGGCCGGCGGGATGCAGCAGCAGCAGCAGCGCCGGCGGCCGCCGCCGGCCGCCGCCAGAGCGGCAGGCCCCATTCGGGCCGCGTGGGCGGCGCGCCACGAGCGAGCGAGCGGAGCTGCCAGCGCGGGGCAGGGCCAGCGCCCATGCGAGGGGCATCCTTCAGGAGAGGAAAAACACACAGGCACAATTCATCCTCGATTCCCCCGAACAGATGAGAAAATATGGGAAGCGGGGGGGAAGACAGAAACCCAGAAAATATAGGAAAATATGGGGAATATTTGTATTTGTGTGTATTTATTTGTGTGTCCTGGGGCCCCTTCAATCCTACGTCTTGAAACATATTGTTGGCCGTTTTCGGTAGCTTCTTGGAGGTCTTCCAGCCTCGGGGAGTCTGGCTGCAGCTGCGCCTCGCCCAGAGCGTCCTGGGTGTACCCGAACCGTCCCGAACGGCTGCCGCAAACCCAAGTTGTGGGCCCAGAGTCAGATCTCAAACGTCTTGAAGAAATCAATACGGAGGATCTATGGTAATTTCGGCCTCTGGGATAGAGTCGTAACCGTCGCTCCCTCCGCATTTCTTGTAAGCATCCCGTCGGGCGCCGCCGCTGCGCGCGTTTGGCTTGAATAATTTGTGTAATGACTTGCTTGCTTATATCGGGCGTGACCGTGCACGGACAGGAAAAGGGTGCGCTCGCCAAGAGTAGCGCGCTCATCACACACACACACACATTCTTACGTCGATTTACCAGAATCTTACCGCCATGTCGCACAGCATCGTACAGAGACCGTCCATCCACAACATCCATCGCAAGGGGCCCCCTGAGTTAAGATGTGAGAGCGAGGAACACGCTCGACCGTCGGGGAATGCCAATTACCTGACGACATGCCGGTTACCAACTGACAGTATGATAGAGAACCTGACGTTGTGCGCCTTGGCAATTACCAAAGGAATTGCAACGATACGGAAGGGTCGCAGTGAATGTGGTGATTCTGAAATGCACGACGAATTTGGGAAATATCTGATCGAGAAGACACTAGTGAGGGGGTGGGCCCAGATGTGTACAACATGTTTGTCCTCAGAAAGGGTAGCAGGGCCCCTTGACCTTGATGGGACCTCGAATGATGGAGCAGAGTCTCTCCTGTCCTCGGAACAGGGATTGGACATTTCTACGATGCGTAGATCCATGCCAGGAGAACACAGCAAGAATTGCACCAGGCAAACTAAGGAGATCGTTCGTATGGTGGGTGAGGCCTCGTCGTCAGGACACAGGATGCTTGCCTCACTTGGAGCTTACGTCAAGTCGTATGGGCCCGATTTTCAGACGAACCCTTATCGAAGACGCCTACGGCGAATCACCGCCGCCCCCTGCCTGCCTTTTTGAAAGCGCCTGCGTGGCCGAAAGTTGGGTTAGAGCTTGGCCAAGCTATCGGGCCACGCGTTCCCCGAGTGGGTTTTGAAAGCCTTCGGGGAACACGGAGTCGGGCGAGCTATCGGACCAGGTGGTTTCCGAGCTTTCGGGCCTCCTGGAGGACGTCTTGGAGGGGTCTTGGGCCGTCTTTGATGCCTCTGGTGGGCCTTTTGGGAAGTCTAAGGCGATCTTCAGGCCATCTGGGGCCGTCTTGGGTGCATCTTGGGGCCATCTTCGCCGTCTTGGAGGCCTTCTTGGCCGTCTTGGAGGCATGTTGGAGGCCATCTTGGTCGTATTGGAGGTCAGCTTGGCCGTCTTGGGGGCCTCGTGGGCCGTCTTGGGGTCTTGTTGGGGCCCTCTTGGGGGCCTCTTGGCCTGTCATGGGGCCGTCTTGGAGGTCTCTTGGGTGCTCTTGGGGCGATGTTGGGGGCCTCTTGGGCCGTCTTGGGCCGTCGGACAGCTGAAAAGAAGCAACTGCCAAAACCTTTCAAACACCGAAGGACAATCATTGATTCATTGGCTTACGCCGCACCGCGGACCCCTTGGCGAGGCAGCAAGAGTGAAAGACAGAATTCGCGGAACGCGCGCGATCGCTGGGCAATCTTGGGGTTTCGGCCTTTCCTACGTAGCGTGTGGGGTTCAAGGGGGGGCTTTGTAGGGGATTGTTTTGAAGTTCTTCGTTGTCTTATGTGAGTTTCTTGGGGCCTTCACGGGGCCTGTCCCAGGCCTCCTTTTCCACCTCCTGGATAGGCTCGGGGATCGTTGAGACCCAGCTGGGGTTGCGTCCGGTCAGAAGTTCGAGAGTGGACCCACCTGTGTCGACGAGGAGCTTCCTGAAGGCCCAGAGGGGGCGGAGAGCGCCCAAGAATTGGAGTCACATGCCTGGATCCTCGATCCACCCCGTGAAAACGGTTCCTGGAGGCTGAATTCGAGGAGATGCCTCTGGTGGTCGAAAGGCCATGAAAATCTGTGAGACATCGGCGGCGACGACGAAATCTTCTTTCTTTTTTTCCTCTTCCTCCTCCTCTTCCTCCTCCTCGTCCTTCTCCTTTTCTTCTTCTCGATCGCGGTAGATGCCCACGGCAGTTCACATATATATGTACATATATGTACATATTTGTAATACATACAAATATAGATAGTGGCCTTCGGCCCATCCCGCCACGGTGCCCTGGTTGTCTGCCTGAGATCCTTGGTGCCTGGGTTGCGGGTTAGAAGTTGCATGCCTCAAGTGGTACTTGGGGCTTCTTTTGAGCTTTTTGGGGGCCTCTTGGGGCCTCTTGGGGGGCCTGTTGGGGGCCTGTTGGGGGCCTCTTGGGGCCTCTTGGGGGGTCTCTTGGGGGCCTCATGGTCCCTGTTGGGCGCCTCTCGGGCCCCCCTGGGGCCGTTTTGGGGTGGAAGGCTCGGATTGTGGGTTCAGGCCCCCCCTCTTGGGCCCCTCTTTGGGCCGTCTTGGGGCACTCGTGGGCCGTCTTGGGAGCCTCTTGGGTCGTCTTGGCGCCCTCTTGGGCCGTTTCGAGCGCCTCTTGGGAGCCTCTTGGGCCGTTTTGGGGCGGTCCTGGGGGACCCTGGGGCCGTCTTCAACGCCGTGAAGGCCGAAACATCGTGTATGATGAAAATGTACGTTTCCCCATCGAATTTCGACGATTTTGGCCTCTGGGGCCCCTCTTGGGGATGCTCTTGGAGGCTTCCTGGGCCGTCTGGGAGGCTTGTGGGGCCGTCTTGGGGCCATCCTGGGCGTCTTGGGCCGACCTTTGGGCGTCTCGGGGGCCTCTTGGGCCGTCGTGGGGGCGGGCTGCTTGGAGCCCTCTGGGGCTTCGTGGGGTCTGATGACACATTTGCCCCCCGCCTCCCCCCCTCCAAACCTGCCGGACCGGGCTCCCGGGGGAGGGGTTTGGGGAGGGGGAAGCATCTCACACGCCGTGACCAAGTGGTCGGCGGATTTTGGCCTCTTCGGGCCTTCCTGGAGGACGTCTTGGAGGCATCTTGGGCGCCTCTTGGGCCACCTTCGGCTCTCCTGGGGATGTTTCTGCCGTCTTGGATGCCATCTTGGTCGTCTTGGAGGTCATTTTGGTAGTCTTGAGGTATCTAGGAGACCATCTTGGCTGTTTTTGAAACCTCTTGGGCCGTCTTGGGGCCCTCTTGGGGCTGGCTTGAAGGCCTCTTGGACCATTCTGGAGCCATCTGGGAGGCCTCTGGGACTAGTTTGGGGACTCCTTGGGCCGTCTTAGGCGGTCGGAACACCAAAACAGAGGAAAAACAACAATCCTTCAAACACCGATGTAACATTTAAGATTTTGGCTCCCTCAGGCCTTCCTGGAGCACCTCTTGGACTCCCCTGGGGCAATCTTGGAACCTCTCGGGCCCATCTTGGGCCATCTTGGCCGTTTTAGCGGCCATCTTGGCCGTCTTGAAGCACATCTTGACCGTGTTGGAAGCATCTTGGAGGCCATTTTGGCCATCTTGGAGACCGTCTTGGGCGTCTTGGAGGCCTCTTGGGCCGTCTTTGGGCCCTCTTTGGGCCCTCTTTGGGCCATCTTGAGGGCCTCTTGGATCGTCTTGGGGCCATCTTGGAGGCTTCTTGGGCACTCTTGGGGCGATCTTGATGAGCTCTTGGGCCGTCCTGGGCCGTCGGAAGGCCGAAAAGGAGCAAAAGCCAAAATCCTTCAAAACCTAAGGAACAACAAGTAGTTTGACCTCTTCGGGACGTCCTGGAGTAACTCTTCGAGGCCTCTTGCGCCGTCTTGGGCCGTCTTAGGTGTTTCTTGTGCGAACTTGGAGGCATATTGGATTCTCTTGGGCCGTCTTCGAGGCCATCTTGGACCATCTTGGACGAACTTGGACGCCATCTTGGGCCATCTTGACCATCTTGATCCGTCCGGAGCCGAACAACCTTTTGCAACCACCAGTTGCGCATCTCTGGCGGGACGGGCCCAGTCGTCGATTTTATTAAAAGCCTCAATCGCCGATTGTACAGCAATCGGTTGCTCAGGTTCTGCAACAACCACTTCAGGATCTAGGTCTACTTGGACACCCCAGCCGGCGGATAGAAGATGATTCCACGCAGTAGGCGGGGATGCGGTGGGAGGGGCAATTCGGATGTCAGATTTGACGCGAGCGCACCTGGCTTCTCCCTTCCCCTTCTCCCTTCACATCCCTGCCACCGCAGTGGTCGTCGTCATCGTCGTCGTCGCCGTCGTCGCCGTCGTCGTCGTCGTCGTCGTCGTCGTCGTCGTCGTCGCCGTCGTCGCCACCGGCGCCGCCGTCGCCGTCGCCGCCCGCCGCCCTCCCGGCCTGCCGCGCAGGCGCCGCAGGCGCCGCCGCCCGCCGCGGGGCCGGGCAGCCCAGCGGTCTGGTTGCTCGTGCAGCAGCAGCGAGGCAGCTTTCCGAGGAGCAGGAGGAGGAGGAGGAGGAGGAGGAGGAGGAGGAGGAGGAGGAGGAGGAGGAGGAGGAGGGAGGAGGAGGAGGAGGGAGGAGGAGGAGGAGGAGGAGGAGGAGGAGGAGGGAGGGAAGAGTAGTAGTAGTAGTAGTAGTAGTAGTAGTAGTAGTAGTAGTAGTAGTAGTAGTAGTAGAGGAGGAGGAGGAGGAGGAGGAGGAGGAGGAGGAGGAGGAGGAGAGGAGGAGGAGGAGGAGGAGGAAGGAGGAGGGGAGGAGGAGGAGGAGGAGGAGGAGGAGGAGGAGGAGGAGCAGGAGGAGCAGGAGGAGGATGAGGAGGAAAAGGGTCGTGGAGGCCCGGCGACGTCACCGGGCCACGGTGTCTCAGCCCCACCAGCCCAGCCCCGCAGGTGGGGGATAGGTCCCGCAAGGCCCGAAGGGAGCTCAATATATGATCCTGGGTCGATGGCCCACTGCCCACGCCCCCCAGATGGGATGAGTCCCAGGACTCCACGGGACTACCCCCCAGATGGGATGGGGGGGGACGACGACGACGACGACGGCGACGGCGACGGCGACGACGACCACTGTGGCGACGACGACGACGACGACGACGGCGACGACGACGACGACGACGGCGGCGGCGGCAGCGGCGGCGCCGACCCCCAGAGCCCTCCGACGACGACGATGGCGGCGGCGACGACGACGACTTCCAGAGCTCTTCTGGAGCACCACAGCATCACGCCACGCACGCCACATCCACAGCACCACACCACGCCCACAGGGGGTGGCAGGGGGACCCATCGTGGGGGGGGAGGCCCGATGCCATCAGCATGGTGGGGGTGTGGGGGGGGGCCCAGACCTGGATCGTCTATATATATATATATATATACATATATATATATATATATATATATATATATATATATGTCGGGCGTGTCCCCCTACAGGGGATTTTCCACGAAAAATAATAAAATACTTTCAAAATACCCCCAAAAGGTTCAAACACATATTCAAAAAATAGTCCCCAGACTATTTTTGGATTATTGAATCGCTTCGCTCATTCCGCCGGCCCGTGATATGGCATCGCTGGTTTTTGTCTGTGTGTTCGTTGCCCATGTTGCGCTCTTGGGGGCGGGTGTCGTTCGGACGCGTTGCGTGGGGAGTTTTGATGGTGAAGCAGTTCCCTGGGGGTCGTCTCTCGATGGGGCGAAATAGAGTCGTCGTCAAGATGCTTCTTTGGGGGGCCTCTTGGGGTCTGTTGAGAGGCCGTTCGGGGGCGCCTGGGAGACATGTTTGAAGCCTTCTGGGGCTTCTTTTGGGCCTCCTGGGAGTCTCCTGGGGCCTCTTGGCGACATCTTGGGGCCTCTTGGAGGCCTCTTGGGGCCTCTTTGGGACCTCCTGGGCGCCTTCTGGGACGGAGGGCTCCATTTTTGAGTTCTCGGTATCCCTCCTGAGTCCCTCTTGGGCCCGTCTTGGGGCCTCTTGGTCCGTCTTGGGCGGCACTTGGGCCGTCTTGAGGGCTCTCTTGGGTCGTTTCGGCGCCGTCTTGGGAGCTTCGTGGGCCGTCTTGGAGCGGTCTTGGGGGCCTCTTGGGCCGTCTTGGAGCGTCCGGAAGCCGAAAAAGCCAGAACACAAAAAACATAGAAAAAACAATGAAAATCAACGATTTTGGCCTCTTGGGGCTCTCTTCGGAGGCCTCTTGGAAGGCTCTTGGGGCGTCTTGGAGGCCTCTTGGGCTGTCTTGGGGGCTTTTTGGGCCGTCTTGGGGTCATCTTCGGCGTCTTCGAGCGCTCTTTGGGCGTCTCGGGGGCCTCTTGGGCAGTCTTGGGGGCCTCTTGGGGCACTCTGAGCGCGCTCTGGGGAGCCTGAGAGGCCGCACCCAGAAGGAAAACCATCTCTGAGTAGACTTGGTCGGGCGGCGGTCGGGGTACTTTTCGCCGGGGGACCCCCAGGGGCCGCCCCGCGCGCGCGAACTAGAAATACTGTTAATACTGTTAACCAGTTACCGGAGATCTTAGCACGCCCTGGCCCGTTGGGCCGGCGAATTTTTGATTATTTTCGGGGTATTTTTTTCCGTCGAAAATCCCCCTGTAGGGGGACACGCCCGACTTTTATATATGTATATATATATATATATGTATGTATATATATGTATATATATATGTTTATTTATTATTTTTTATTTATTTATATCTATATATATATACTCTCACGTGTGGGGGGCAAGGAAGCCAGTGCACCCCAAAAAGGCTCGACGAGAGGTTTCCTCACTCTTCGTGCACATGCGGGTCCTTATCGGGCCCTGGGGCAGCTAAAGATCCTGATTGACTCAGGATGCCTAGGTCACTCCCAGGGGCCCGAAGGTAGCCGCGCTTCGGGGGTCATGGCCAGTGTCAGAGCGAATGCCCTTCTCCAAGGGGGCGGCGCGAGAGCGCGAGGGCGCGAAGATAACCGCGCGTCGTGCACCGCGGGGCGTGATGCGCGACGTCAGGCGACGAGACGTGGTCGAGGCCTCTGCGCTCCCGCGTTGCGATAGAATTCATGGTATCGGGGTCTGGGATTAAGTCGGGCACGTGCCCCTACAGGAGGAACATTCGAAAATGGTGAAAAAATAGTCAGGGTACGATTTTTTGAATTTGTTGTTGACAATTTTGGAATGTTTTTGGACTTTGTCAAAGTCCGCCTGTAGGAGGACACGCCCGACCTAAGCCTTGTGGCGTGGAGGCCGCGCCGGGGCCGGCCTCAAACGGGTGGCCTGCCCCGGTGTGCAGGCACCCCCGGCGCTGCAGGTCGGGGCAGGCCCCCCCCCCGCTGGTGGGGGCAGCAGGCCCGCGGACAGGGCAAGGAGGGCTTCCAAGGGAGACAGGAGGGGGGGATGAGGGAAGGAGGAGGGGGGCTTTCAAAGCAGAAAGAGGAGGAGGAGAAGGAGGAGGAGAAGGAGGAGGAGGAGGAGGTGGCGAACGAGGAGGAGGAGGAGGAGGAGGTGGAGGAGGAGGAGGAGGAGGGAGGAGGAGGAGGTGGAGGAGGGAGGCGGAGCTGGAGTCTATAGCAGTCTACAGGTCTGAAAGAGCGCGTTCTGTGGTCGCTTGGAGGGGGGGGGGTTTGGAACACCCCCCCCCGCCCCGTCCCGTGACGGAGGGGGGTGGGGGGTGGTTTCGAACCCCCCCCCTCCCCCTCCTCCCCTACTTCTCCTCTCTCCTTCTCCTCGGGCCGGCGCCTGCGTCGGCGGCGGCTGGCGGCGGCGCCGGGGACGACGACTTCCTTTTCTGGGCCGGCGCCGGCGCCTGCGGCGGCGGGCGGCGGCGGCGGGGAGCGTCGACGAGGACGGCGACGGCGATAACGACGACGACGCTCCGCCACCGTGCCTTGGTTTTGGGTCAGAGTTCTAATGGATGCCTCTTGGGGTCTCGTCGGAGGGCTCTCGGGGGCCTCTGAAGGGCATTTGTGCAGCCTCGCGGGCGCCTCTTGGGCGTCTCTTGGGGCCTCTCTGAGGTGGTGGTGGTGGTGGGCTGTGGTGGTGGTGGTGGTGGTGTGGTTGGTGGTGGCGGTGGTGGTTGTCGTGGTGGTTGTGGTGGCAGGTTGTGGTGGTGGTGGTGATGCTGGCGGTGCTGGTGCTGGTGGTGGTGGTGCGGTGGTTTCTGATGGTGGTGGTAGTTGTGGCGGTGGTGGGTTAAGGTGGTGTTGGCGGTGGCGGTGGTGGTCTGGTGGTTGATCGTTGTGGTTGTGGTGGTGGTAGTGGTTGTGGTGGTGGTGGTGGTGGGTTGTGGTGGTGGTGGTGGCGGTGGTGGTGGTGGTGGTGTTGGCGGTGGTGGTGGAGGGTTGCGGTGGTGGTGATTGTGGTGGTGGTTGTTGGTGATGGTGGTGGTGGTGGTGGGGGTGGTGGGGTGGTGGTGGTGTGGTGGTGGTGGTTGGTGGTGGTGGTGTGGTGGTTTGTTGTTGTGGTGTGGTGTTTGTTGTTGTGGTGGTGGGTGGTGATGGTGGTGGTGGTGGTGGAGTGGTGGTGGTTTGTGGTGGTGGTGGTGGTGTGGGTGTGGTGGTGGTGGTTGGTGTGGTGAGGTGGTGGTTTATGGTGGTGGTGGGTTGAGGTGGTGGCGGTGGTTTGTGGAGGTGGTGTGGTGGTGGTGGCGGTGGTGGTGGTGGTGATGGTGTGGTGGTTCGTGGTGGTGGTGGGTTGTGCTGCTGGTAGTGGCGGTGGTTGTGCGGTGGTGGTGGTGGTGGTGTTGGTAGTGGTGGTGGGTTTTTGCGGTGGTGGTGGTGAGTTGTGGTGGTGGTGGTTGTGGTGTTGGTGGTGGCTGTGGTGGTGGTGGTGTTTGTGTGGTGGGTTGGTGGTGGTGGTGGTGGGTTGAGGTGGTGATGGTGGTGGTAGTGGTGGTGGTGGTAGTGGTGGTAATCGTCGCTGCGTCGCCGCCGTCGGCGCTGCTGGCCGCCGCCAGCGCCGGCGCCGGCGCCGGCGCGGGGGGGGGGGCGGGTTTGGACCCCCCCCCTGGGCTGCCTCTGGTTGCTGCGTTCCCGCCGTCGGCGCTGCTGGCGGTCGCCAGCGCCCGCGCCGGCGCCGGGGGGGGGGTTCGGGAGGGGGGGGGGTTAGGAGGGAGGGGAGTCCCCCTGGTTCTGATCGACGGCGCCGAGTGTTTGGGGGGCCCCCCCCCCCTCCCGGTTCGAAACGCGCCGCCGAATGTTCCCAAGACAAGCGCCCGTGAAACGCGCTCTCTCACAGGTCTGAACGCCGAGAGGGTCAATAAGCGAATGACCGCGGCGAAGGGCGCAGCACCCATCCCAGGCCGTCCCTGGGCGATGTCTCTGCGACAAAACAAATCCCCTTTTCGCACGAGCTGACTCCAGCACCGTTGCTCGTGTGCAGGGCTGCGTGCTGGCGCTGCGCCCCAGCTCTCTGCGAGCCTGCTTGCACGCCCGTGCCCGTGCCCCTGCCATGCTCGCGCCCGACCAGCCACGCGAGCGAACCCCAGCACAGTAGCTGTAAGTCGGGCGTGTCGCTACGCATGGGGAGTATTCATAATTAGTTAAAATATTTTGGGGACGACATTATCTTCGGATTATTGGATTATAATGCAAAGAATCAGAAATAGTCAAGCAATCATTTTTTTTGATTATTTAATCGCTTCGCTCATTCCGCCGGCCCGTATTGTGCCATCGCAGGCGTTTGCTTGCGCGTTCGTGGCCTCTTGGAGCCTCGGTGGGGCCGTTTGGGGCCTCTTGGCGCCTCTTTTTAGGCCTCTTGGAGAACTCGGGAGGCCTCCAGGGGGCCTCCTGAGCTCTCGTGACGGTCTCTTGGGGGGCTTTCGGCGGGCTCTTGGCGGTATTTGTTGGTCCTCTTGGGGCCTGGGGCCTGACGTTGTTGGTCCTCTTGGGGCCTCACGGGAGCTTATTGGGGCGTCTTGGGGGTGTCTTGGAGAGTCTCTTGGGGCCTCTTTCGGGGTCCTGGGCGCCTTCTGGGGCGGAGGGCTCGATTTTTCAGTTCTCGGTTCCCTTCTTGAGCCCCTCTTGGGCCCGTCTTGGGGCCTCTTGGTCCGCCTTGGGCAGCACTTGGGCCGTCTGGGGGGCGCTCTTGGGCCGCTCCGGGGCCGTCTTGGGAGCCTCGTGGGCCGTCTTGGAGCAGTCTTGAAGGCCTCTTGGGCCCTCTTGGAGCGTCCGGAAGCGAAAAGGCCAGAACGCAAAAAAACATTGAAAAAACCAATGAACATCAACAATTTTGGCAACTTGGGGCCCTCTTCGGAGGCCTCTTGGAAGGCCCTTGGAGCGTCTTGGAGGCCTCTTGGGCTGTCTTGGGGCCATCTGGGGCGTCTTCGGGCGATCTTTGGCCGTCTCGGGCCTCTCTTGGACCGTCTAGAAAGCTTCTCGGGGCCCTCTTGGACCGATCTGGAGCCCTCTTGGACTCCGAAACAGAACTCCGGCATCTCTGACCCGACCTTGCCGGGACCTTGCCGGGGTACTTTTCGTCCGGGGACCCCCAGGGACCGCCCCGCGCGCGCGAACTAGAAATACTGTTAACCAGGTACCGGAGATCTTAGCACGCCCTGGCCCGTTGGGCCGGCGAATTTCTAAGTTTTTGTCTGGGGTATTTTTGATTTTTCCTCCGAAATCCGCCTGTAGGAGGACCTGCCCGACCTAACAGTAGCTGATGGTGTTTGCCTGTTCCGTCAAACGTTGGGTCGCTGCTTCCGTTTCGCACCGACAGGTGTTTCGCTCCTTTTTCTCGCGCTGACACCTGATACTGCGCTGCCTGCTTTTCTACACGAGTTGACCCTGGTTGTGAGCTCATGATGCTGTGCTCACGCGTGGCCTTCGGGTACCGCCTTCTGTTGCTGTCACTGTTTTCCTTCCCGCACTGGCAATCACTGCTGCCACTGCTTGCCTTCTCGCACTGGGAAGCCGTGCTGCCACTGCCTGCTTTCTCGCACGACCTGACCGTAGCCTTGTAGCTGATGTTGTGTTGCTCCTGCATCGCCATCGGGCACCGACAACCACTGCTGCCACTGTCTGCCTTCTCGCGCCGACAGACCAGACCCTGCAGCCACTGCCAGCCTTCTCGCACGAGCTTACCCTAACAGCATTGCAGCTGATCGTGTTGAGGAGAAGGGGGAGGAAGGAGGCGGAAGAGGGGGAAGAGAGGGAGGAGGAGGAGGAGGAGGAGGAGGAGGAGGAGGAGGAGGAGGAGGAGGAGGAGGAGGAGGAGGAGGAGGAGGAGGAGGAGGAGGAGGAGGAGGAGGAGGACGAGGAGGAGGAGAAGGGGGGGGGCGGGGGGGGAGGAGGAGGAGGAGGAGGAGGAGGAGGAGGAGGCGGAGGAGGAGGAGGAGGAGGAGGAGGAGGAGGAAATGAAGAGGCATAGATGATCTTGTTTTGCCAGCATGTATCGAGGGGGCCCGCGGAGGGAAGGTGGTTTTCGAGGGTATGCTAAGGATGGCGCCCAGCCTTGAGAGCCCGCCTGGCAAGGTCGCCATGTTCATGCCCTCCTGGGAGATCCCGCGGAGTGACATTTTGCTCCTGGTTTTGTTTGCTGTTGGTCTTGTAAATCGAGCGTATCATTTGTTTGTTGTTGGTTTTGTTAGCTGTTGGTTTTGTTTGCTTTCCGCCATTTTACGCCCGCGACCGATTTTTCTATTGGCTTTGTTTTAGGTATAGCTTGCCTGGGGCGTGCACTGCGTATGTTTCCCATGGGGCTCGCAGGGAGAGCAATGCGCCCTCTCAATTGCTCCTTCGTCTCAGATGATCCCGTTGACGCTGCCACTCGTTGCAGATGGGTTGGGCACGTCTCTGGGTAACTTTCAGACAGCAGAGGATCTTGCGATAATCCGATTTACGGGGTCCCCCCCAACCCCCTCCTTATGAGGGAATCCTGGAGGCCTCGCGCGCCGCGCAATAGTTGTATTATCTAATCCATAGGTCAGCTCCGTGAGCTATGGGTCGACGCTCGCGCGGCAATGCTTCGGCGTCAGTCTAACGTAATTCCGACGTAGTCCGACTCGAACCCGACGTAAGTCCGACGTGGCTCCGACGTAAGTCGGGTCTCAAGTTGCCGCGCAAGGCCTCCAGGATTTTCCCCATCACACTCGTAACCCTCCCCCCAGGTCATCAAACCTGGTCGCTCGTGCAAGTCTTGGGGTGCGTCGCAGGATGGTGTCTGCGATGCGCACTACGAGAGCGCGCGTGCCTTCGGCGCGCCCCGGTGCGTATGGGCCTGTGCGCGCGTACACGGGGCGGCGGTGCACGAAGAGGCATGGATGGGAATGCCCAAGGCGACAACGGCAGGTTGTCGTCCGACGCCCGGAAGAGAACGAGGAGGAGGAGGAGGAGGAGGAGGAGGAGGAGGAGGAGGAGGAGGAGGAGGAGGAGGAGGAGGAGGAGGAGGAGGAGGAGGAGGAGGAAGAGGAGGAGCCCCCCCCCCGCTCCGTCCTGTCTTCCCTCGTCCTCCCTCCTCTTCCCAAGGATCGGCTCTCTAATTTTCCGACTGGTGCTGGCGCCCCATCGCCACCGCCTAGCCCCGCGTACGGCCGTCCCCTGGGAGGACACAGGCGCAGTCTCCAGTCTCTCCCTCCACTTGGGGGCTGGAGTCCTTGACCCGTCCCCGAGGCGGCCGGGCTGTGAGGCAGTACTACCTGAACAGCATCACCAGGGAGAGGTCTTCGGAGCAGCCTGCAGGCCCAGCAGGCTGGGCCCAAGCAGGAGGGCCGAGGAGCGAGGGCACGAAGATGGATGGGGTGGCCAGGAGCATGATGATGCAGGAGCGAGGCCACATTTAAACATCATGAGTCGCCCTTTTGGCCATACGGAATCTAGCTTGTCTGTTCCCCAAACAGTGCTTCTTGCACGTTGGGGTCTTCCTTGTCTTCCGAGGAGCTGGGCCCGGCTGGAGGGCCGGCCGGCTTGTCGCCGCCCCTCGACTCCTGTCGCCGCCGCCTGTCGCTGCCGCATTTTTTGGCCGCAGTTTTTGACTGTGCGAACCTCGTGGATGCTCCCGTGTTTTCCCTTTCTACAAGAGTACTTCCCCCCGGGGTTAACGGTCCACCTTTCCGCATTTTTGGCCGCAGTTTTGACTGTGCGAGCCTCGTAGATGCTCCTTTGTTTTCCTCTCTAGAAGAGTACTCCCCCCGGGGTTAACGGTCCACCTTTCCGTGTTGCAGTTTGCATGGGGTTCTGCGTCATCGTCCATCACAGATACGAGTGCCATCCCAGGCAGGCCAGGGGTCGCACCCCTCCTCGCTCCTCTGCAACACATATTGTGCGCGCGCACTCGCTCATCAAAAACCATCTGTTTTCAAGAGCCCTTCGCAACATATGGGACGAAGTGCTCGCGCGCGCGTCGTCGCGCGCGCATGCCGACATCCTTCAAGAGCTTCATGTTTCGTAAGTATTTCAAAATCGAGTTCCACGAAAACAAATAAGCACATTGTTTCGCAACCATAATTTCCCAAAAAGTTTGCGCTCGCGCTCGTGCGAGGTCGTAATTAAGTAAAACGACCACAGGTTTTCCAACATTTCCATAACATGCTTCCAAAGTGGACTCGCGCGCGCGTGTCGAACTGGTTCGAACGCCCTTGCGCTGGTGCTGTCGCAAGAACCCTTTGCAAAACATGGTGCGAAGTGCACGCGCGCGCGTCGTCGCGTGCGCATGCCGAAATCCGTCAAACACCAGAGTTTTCGTAAGAGAGTCAAGCTCGAGAGCCACGACAACAAATGCACACATATGTTTTCGCAACGTCAAAAAGCAACCTGCGCTCGCGCCTTTGCAAACTCTTGGGGAAACCAAAAGGTTTTCCAACGTTTGCACGACATGATTCCAAATGCCTCTCGCGCGCGCGTCGAAGCCGTTCGAACGCCCTTGCGCGCGTGTTGCGGGTGGGTGGGTGGTGGTGGTGGTGGTGGTGGTGGTGGTGGTGGTGGTGGTGGTGGTGGTGGTGGTGGTGGTGGTGGGGTGGGGTGGGGGGGGGGTCAAATGATGCCGCGCAGGCCACTCGCGCGCGTCGGCCGCGCCCGCATGTCGAGCTCCGTCAAGAATCCTCATCGCCGACGGGGGGGCATCGTCATCGTTATCGGCGAGGGTGATCAACATCGGCGCCGTCATTGGCCTTGCCGTTGTCATCGCCGCCATCGTCGCCATCATCGCTACTCTCGTAAGTGCGTTTGCCGCTGTCGGCGTCGCCATGATACCGCGCCCGCCCAAGTCACCGACTCGCGCTGGGGGTTCCCGCAGGGAAGTCCCTGGCGGTCAGCGCCGCCGCGGCCGCGTCGGTCGCGCCAAACTAGCTGGCCGCTGCGCGCGCGAGCATGCGCGGGCTAGCGCGTCCGCAGAGATGTACCAGCCGACGCCGCGCACTCCTCGCAATCGCCGCCGCATGCGTTTTGCAGACGAAGTTTCGGGTGGGCGGGTGGGATGTTTGCGACGGCATGGCATTTTTCAATGCTAGCATCCATTTCAAGAATCATCGGGTGTACTCCCCCCGGGTTTAACGTTCCTCCTTTTTGTGTGGCAGACTTCAGATGATTCTGCCCCTCGTCTATCCTAATAGGAGTTCGTGCCGTCCCAGGCAGGCTGGGAAATCCCATGCGGCAGAATTTATGAGTGCGTGCCCGTTTATCAAACGTCGGCAGTTTTCATGAGACTTCTGCAACAACTTCAGGTTTCGTGAGGATTTCAACATAGAGCACCCCGGAAACATAAAACACGCATGGCTTCGCAACGAGAGTTTTCCATGACAAAGCTTGCGCCCGCGTTCTTTTTTTGGGCGGTGTGTGTGTGTATATATATGTATATATATATATATATATATATGCAAGATTTGAAGCTCGCTGCGCTTCGCTTGCAGGTCTTGGCACGATGCGCTGGCGTGCAGTGTGCGAGTGAAGTGCGACTATGCGGGCTGAGGCGTCGGCGATTGGCAGTGGCGGGGATGGGGAGGTCACGGGCGCATGGGCGTCGGCCCATGGAGTGCGCGCGCGCCGTGCGCGCGCGCCGAGTTGGCAAGGGGCGACGCGCGCGACGGTCATCGGCGATAAGATTAGGCGGGGATGCAACGCCGAGGGCAGGGGAAGGGAGAGGTGTGGTAAATGCGGGGCGTTCGGGACAACTTCAGGATTCGGGGGCCCTATTGGGGAAGACGGAGGGGTCGGAATCCTTGTTGGCGGGTGCGACACAGGGGGTTGGGGAGGTCAGGGGCAGCGCCTGTAGACAGGGTGTTTAACATGGCGGTGACCACGATGATGATGACGCGGTTGTGGCGACGACGGAAGTGGCATGCGCAGGGGGCGGGGGGGGCAGGGGCTCGCCGGCCTGGTTCGAAGGGGCGGCCCGAAACCGGGACCCCCCCCTCAGCCCGACGTGGCCTTTCTCTCGGCGTCTTGACTGTGCGCTCGGATCTGCAGTGCCAGCGAAGCGGTCTGGACGGCTGCTTGCCCGCGCGCTTCCTTCCCTGTCCGTCTGCGTGCGTGGCCGCTGTTTCATCGGCCTGCGCGCGCGTGGCTTGCATTGTCGTGCCCTCCCGTCTTGCAGCAAAGAGAAATATTTACACTGCCCCATACCTGCAGTCCGCGGAGCACCTGGTCGGGTCCAGGTGTTTCGAAGCACATCAATGATTTGGGTCTCGTGGGGCCCTCTTCGGAAGCCTCTCGGAGGCCTCTTGGGCGGTATTGGGGGCCTTTCGGGCCGTCGTCAAGTCGTCGTGAGCGTCTTGGGCAGATTATTCGGCGATTTCGGGCCCTTTGGACCGTCTTGGGAAGCCCAACTGGCGGGCCAGAGAACACCCGAGGGACACCTGGGGCCTCCGGGGACTGGCCAGAGAGAGCCCCGCGGGCCCCTGGGGCCGCCAGATTCTATTGGGGGGGGGTGCCGCCCATCCCCGGGGATCTCCTGATGTGAGATAATAAAGATTGGAATATATATCTATATATATATATATATATATCTCTATATATATATACATAGAAACCAAACGGGCCTCCCGCGCGGGCATGGCGAAGTCGTTCGAGCGTCGCGCCCTTGCGCGCGTGCTGTCGGGGGAATCCCCGGCAAGCGACGGGGCGAGGTGCGCGCGGGCGCGTCGTCGCGCGCGCGCGCCGGATTCATTCGACAGCCTTCGGTGCCGTTGGGATGTCAAAATGGAGTGTTTCCAAAACGTGTAACCCATTGGTTTTGCAACATCTGTTTCCAGAGAAAAGCTGTGCTCGAGCTTCTGTAAGTTCTTGAGGGAGCAACGCCGAGCGGGCCTGTCGCGCCGCATGTCAAAATCATTCGAGCGCCCTGGCGCGCGTGCTGGGGGGCGCGGTCACTCTCGCGCGTCGGCCGCGCGCGCGCGTGTCGAACTCTCTTGAAAGCCGTCGTCGCCGATGCGAGGGCGCCGTCATCGTCGTCGGTGTGATCGGCATCGGCGCCGTCACTGGTCGTGCCGTCGTCGTTGTTTTCATCTTCGCCAGCGTCGCTACTGTCATGGCCGTGTCTACCGAAATCGACGCCGCCATGATGCCGCGCCCGCCCAAGTGGCCGACTCGCACTGGGGTGTCCGCTGGGAAGTGCCCAGCTGTCAGCGCCGCCGCGGCCGCGTCGGTCGCGCCGAACTCGCTGGCCGCTGCGCGCGCGAGCATGCGCGGGCCAGCGCGTCCGCAGAGATGCACCAGCCCACGCCAAGCACTCGTCGCAATCGCCGCCGCATGCGTTTTGCCAACAAGTTTGGGGTGGGCGGGTGGGATGATTGGGCGGGCAGTGGAGTTGACGACTCATTGCGAACAGAAGATCGTTCTCTTTCCGTAGAGAGTATTCGGATCTACCCCGTCCCCGGATGTATCCGTCTCCCTTTTAATTTTCGTGGTGTAATTCACATTTGATTCTGCCCCATCGTCCATCCGAATCCTAAATGTGAGTTCGTGCCATCTCAGGCAGGCTGGTACCGTTTCCCCTCGCATTCCCTTCGTTTATGAACAAATCACAGGTTGTCGAATTATTTGACAACAGGTGGGGCGATGTGCGCGCGCGCGTCGTCGCGCTCGCATGCCGGAATCCTCTAATAATGTCAAGTTTCGTAAGGATTACAATGATGACTGTCAGGGATACAAACAAACAGGGTTTCGCGGCTTCTCGAATTCTTAAGAAAACCATCGGCTGTTCAACATGTTCAATGACATGCTACCAAACGGGCTCCTCGCGCGCGCGTGTCGAATTCGCTCGAACGCCCTTGCGCGCGTGCTGTCGCGAGAATTCAGTGCGAAACGTAAGGCGACATGCACGCGCGCGCGTCGTCGCGCGCGCGTGCCGGAATCCTTCAGCAACCTTTGGTTTCGCGCGGGTTAGCGCGGCCGCGGATATGCACGGGCCGGTGAGATGATCGCGCGATCAGTGGAGTTGACTATTGCGATTTCCACAAGTGCATTGCACCGCGTAGGCTGTGCCACGTCGTTTGCACCGCGTAGTTTTCGCCGCATAGATTGCCCCCCCCCCCCCCCCCCCTACACACCTAGATAGCATCGCATATATTTCTTTGCGTAGCTTACATGCAGCGCATAGCTTGCACATCATATATTGCATCACATAGACGGTTTCACATCGATTGCTTCACTTTTTCACTCCACGTGGGTTCCACCGCGCAGATTGCACCGCGTGGATTGCACCATTTCGCTTGCGCCACGTGGGTTGCGCCACGTCGATTGCGCCGCGCGGATCG